GCTGGCTTAGTTGCGGAAAAGTCCTTAAACGCTTTTTTGAACTTTGAGCAGAGATCGAAATTTTTTTAAATGAGAAGCAGCGCCCTTTTGCTGATTCACAAAATAGTGAATGGATGTGGAAGTTAGCCTTCTATGTCGATTTGACAAATCATATGAACGAACTGAATTTGAGATTGCAAGAATCAGCTTCTTCCTGATTTATACACCAATATCAAATCCTTCAGGCAAAAAATAATACTTTTTCAATCGCAATTACGTAAAAAATATTTCACACACTTTTAAACATGTGAAATATTCAGCCACACTACAATGACTGAATTTCCCGTCAATTTTGCAATCGAAACTTTGAGTGCTTTGTAGATAAATTTTGATACTCGTTTTTTAGATTTTGATGTCATTGCGAATGGAATTAAGCTTTTTCAAAATCCTTTCGATACTGACATTGAAACCCTGGCTCCGGAAGACCAAATGGAAATTATTGATTTATGGTGCAATGATATGCTTAGAAACAAATATCAAAATTCATCTTTGTTGGAATTTTATTAGAGTCTTCCACTGGAACAATTTGATAATTTGCATAAATTTGCTCGTGGGTTGTTTTCTGGTTTTGGTACTACTTACTGGTGTGAGAAAACGTTTTCCAAGATGAAGTTCACAAAGAATGTTTACAGATCTCAATTAACCGATGAGCATCTTGAATCTCTTTTGATGATTGGTACAAGCAAAATTGATCCACAACTACAAAGTATTGTCGGTGGAAAATCACAATTACATAAATCTCATTGGTGTTTTTGTTTTACTGCGATTCATTTCAATTATTTGTTAGTTATCAATATGCTCAAACTTAGATACTTAAGTTAATTTTTTCTTTGAGGCAGTAGCACTTTTCTGACCCAGTCCGGAAAGTTTGTACTTCACGAAAGTGCTAAAGTGGCAAATGATAAATTCAATTTACAGTATATCATTCCATTTGGAAACGTGGTCTCAATCAGAAAGTTTTCTCCAAAAAAAAAAAAACAGTATAATTCGAATGATACTGAACTGAACTTGGCTATAAAATATCATCTTAGTGATGTAAATGTGGCGGGGCTGAAGAATACAGTGGATACGGATCCGAAGACCAATTCATGTAATTTTACCTTCATCAATTTGTGACACGGTGCATTGCCTTGATTAAACAGGACTTTCTTCTTCTTTAAATGGGGCTGATTTTCGCAATTTCATCCTTCAAATGATCCAATAATGCTATGTAATAATCACTGCTGATAATTTCTCTTTGCAAGAAAGTGAATGGATATTATACCATGTAGAGAGTTGTCCTGAAAATCTTGAGAAAAAAATTGGATTAGATAACATTTTACAAGTGCTGTTCATGACGAAGAATTTCAAGAACGAGGTTTTGATGATGAACGAGAACGAGAATGTTTCCTACTCATTCACCAAACTCAAACACCTGTTCATTTATTTATTTATTCATTTGTATTCAAACAGACCAATGGTCTAATAACATGGATAATGAATATAAAATAATCTTCACATTTCAATAATTATAAATCATGAGAGTCAGTTGTGTACCTACTCAAAAACTTTGAGGTTGAATAGCAACTCTCTTATTGAATATAGTTGTGCAATAAAATCGATAATAATAATATATGTAAATTAGCTTATCAATAGAAAATCATATTCGTGCACAGTTGAAAATACTAAATATAATAAATTTGTATACCGTATCAAACAGATGAAGTTAAGAAATAATCTAATTTTGCTCTACGAAATACTCCCTGAGATAGAGTTCAATCTAGATCTACAAGCACACTACATGTATTGGCCAGTCGTAGCATGGTCACGAGAGGGGATCTGTTCGTTGTAACTACCAACGGAATATTGAATGGATAAGTTCTCCGAGTTCTACGGGAAGGGACATTGAATCTCAGTAATGATAGGATTCCTGGTGCATTCATCCTGTTGTTCATTACATTATACAAAAAATAAATCAAGATGAGGGATCTCCTAGTTTCTAAAGAGAGAACTTTGAAGTCATGTCTAAGTTGATTGGATCTGATAATTTCATAATGCTTTTAGAATGTATGGGGGAATTCCATCAACACCAGCCGCTTTCTTTGGTTTCAATTTTTTTATTGCATTTTCAAAATCTGACTCTCCTATTTCTCTAGTGTCGCAAAAATTTAACTATGTCAGCATCATTTATGAGATTGAGATTCATGCAGCTGCAGTTTCGTAAGAATGTATCATCTTTCTTTCCAATCGATTTCCTGGAGTCTTTGAAGTCCACTGGATACTCGTCAGGACAACAAGAGGATTGTTCCGAATTCTTGGGGTTCTTGTGAGCAAAATAATAGCAGAATCAATACCCCTGACCGCTCAGGATTGAATGATTCCGTACAGTCTATCTCGTCTTGTGTTTGTAAATCTTTATCTGGAGAAATCCTCACTTGTTTATTTTGTAGCAAATGTTCAAGAGGTAGCAAAAACGTATATGATTTTCTGAAACTTCAACTAGCGTTTCCTAATATGACTTATAACTAGTCCGTACAAAGCTTATTGTTAAATCATCTGAAAATGAAACTTTTAACAGCTGATGATTGACTGTATCGCCAAACATGCGCCAAATTATCTAACTGTTATAAGAAAACAAGTATAGCTGAGGCCCAAGTCAATCTAATATTAACACTGATGATCTTCAAACATGACCCAACTTCTGACGGAAGCACCAAACTCTTACGAAGGTTCGAATGAGATGAACACTTCAATCTAACATTATCACGCCTTGCTCAAAGACGTTGAAGTTTGACGATAGTCGTGTCACTAAGTATTCTGACAATGTATTGAATTAACTGGAGCCTCTGGAGACATCCTACATGTTGTTTTATGAGATAGAGGACATTGGCAGATCAAGATCTTCAGATGGTGTGGTGCTGCAGGTTTTTTCGGGTTTTCCTGAAGCTGAAAAAACAAATGCGCCATTGGAATCAATGAAGTCGCCCTGGAGCGCCATGATTTGTAGTTTGGAAGTGTTGTTTCAAAATAATGAATTTATTACCATGCGCAATCCAAACTACTGATACCATAACCTTGCCAGTCGACTTTTGCAACTTCTTACTCTATGGAGTCGATTAACCAACTGCAGTCTACTAAGATGACGATCGTTTTGAGTTTGGTGTGAAATGATGAAGCCATGTTTAATCCATTGTTACATATCGATGGATTATTCCTGTTTTTTTTTCGGCGAGTGGAAAAATCTTCGAAAGACTGGTCGCCGTGTGACCAAGTAGTGTAGGATTTTAACCGACTTAAAAATCACTCATGAGTCACGCAGGCTACTCTTGAACCACCCTCAGGTACTACTTCGGAGTAGCAGACTGTAGTGATGATTCAGAGCTCTTTCTTTTTCTTCAGTACTTCATTTATATTCATCTAGTTCTTTTCAGGATGGTCTTGGAGAGTTTACTAACGGCTTTCCAGTATTTCATCATTTTGAGCATCTTTCCTATCATGTTTCCGGTGTTAATTCTCCTGTCATCATTTCTGCGTTTCGTCTCTGTTCTTTCTAACGTATGCATTCAAAGATTGTATCGACGATATCAGATCCGCCAAGAACCACGGCTGCGACATGTCAGAACTGCAATATTTTCGATGCCAATTGGCTTAGAGAACGCGCATCGATGAAAGTGTTTCAGTTCATATGTATGCAAGTAATCTTTTCTGATCAATTCATTCCACACCAGAGGTTTCACTGTTTCTTTCAGGTGTATTTTCCTAGAGGATAATTTCAAATTCTTAAAATTTTCGATTACTGAAAACAAATTCTTCAATTGAAGATTATTATAAAAAATGCAATTGTTCATTATTTGTTTTTTAACTGATACTAACCACTCAACTTTTTTTCCACCTCTATGGATGATATGAGGTCATCGCTGAAATGATTCATCGTACAGCATTTGAGAATGAAATCAGGTTTCATGAAAATGATAAATACATTGATTTTATTGCAAGAATTAAAATAATTGAAAGGAATATATTATTGAGAGGAAATAGTTTTTGAGAAAGGTAGGTTTTGGCTTTCTGTATCAGCTGCGAATACACATTTTACCGGCAGCAGAAGGTTACATATTTTAATGAGGATCTAATAAAAAATAATTGAAAGAAATATATTATTGAGAGGAAATAGTTTTTGAGAAAGGTAGGTTTTGGCTTTCTATATCAGCTGCGAATACACATTTTACCGGCAGCAGAAGGTTGCATATTTTAATGAGGATCTAATAACGTCAGGACAGACAATTCCGCTTTCTGCTTCATTAAGTTTGTTGGAGATTAAAATGAACATCAACATGTCTTGGCACAATCATGTCTTTGGAATTACAAAAGCTGCACCTCAGAAACTTTTGATGCTTTATAAAGCTCAGATTAAACCTTCTTTGGAGAATTGTTGTTTATATGAATCATGTCTTTGGAATTACAAAAGCTGCACCTCAGAAACTTTTGATGCTTTATAAAGCTCAGATTAGACCTTCTTTGGAGAATTGTTGTTTATATGAAACTAATTGTTTTTAGAGGGCCTTTCTCCCAGTTTGTTACTGAAAGTAACATCAAGTAACATTGTATGATCTACATCTCTATACGGAAATTGATTGTTGTTTTTTCTTTCTTCACAAGATTCCCATATTTTTTGTATGAAGTTGGAGAAGTATAAAATCAAGATTATATTTCAGTGTGTACAGCGGACGGAAGATTTGTGCTTCATAAAGACGAAATTGTTTAAAAATTCAACTGCGACATTTCTTATATTTCAATCATACATACAAACAGTTTCTACACATTTTTTTGGTATATCTTCGAAGACAACACTGTTGCAAACAACCTTGGAAACTATTCATGTCTTTTTGACCCACTTACAATGATATCTAATTGTGTAACTGATTCAAAGTGTGTAACATGCGGTGGTCTTAATTACCCAAACAAAACACTTTTACTTCACACAGGGAAGTCCGGGTTTGCCGCTAGCTGCGATGCATCAAGGCGGAATTAGAACTGCAAATCAGTGGAACCGAAACAAAAGCAATTCAGAAGCAAACCTACTGGCTACAGACTACAACGTACACCACCATCATCTGAGAGACCCCAAAAGACACAGTGTGGCTGAATATGTACATAGTCATGACATTGATCACAGGTGAGATTCAGTGTGAAATTGTACTGGTTTTTCATCGAATTTTTTTAGGTGTAATAACATTTCATAATCTGAAAGATATAGAAATAGTAGAGGAGAATTTCGTGCAGATCAAGGCAGGGCACACTTTTTTTCAGACCACTTACTGCATAAATTCCAAGTATATTGCATGAAAAAAAAATCAATCCATCAGTAACTTGTTGCTTTTGATGATTTTGTCTATCAAAAACAGAGGCTAAGCTGAAAAATACTGATTTCAACGTTTCTGCCTTCGTCATCAAATTTTAAAAGAATCTATTCAATCTTGCAGTTTCTTCTTTGGTTCGTTTGATTTTTAAAACGTTCTCGATAGATGTCGTAGGTATTTTTCTGAATAGAATATTTTCCTCAATGAAAATATTTTGAATTTACTCAGTAACTTATCGGGGTCAACTATAAGGTTTGCCCTTTCTACACGTATATGAAGTTCTAGAATACAAGTTTTATATGAACAAAGGTCGATGAAACTTTGATTTTCTAACTAAAAAATTACTTTTGTTCATTATTTGAGTAACGATCAGCTGTTTATGGAAATTTATTGGCAGATTTCGTTCGTACATCCTCCCAAGGAGTTGTCCTCGTAGGTCATCGTCCATCTTGTCGTTTCTAGGAAGGTGGACAGGTCTCTGGGAGACATCTCCTTTATATAAAAAGTGAAAAATGTACTATTTTTTTCAAGCATTCAATGCTTTTATATGATTTGCTATAACAAATCTCAAAAGACTTTCATAGTATACGGTAAGTGATTGAAATATGGAACACTCGCATTACTGATTAATTTCGTTTTTATTTTTGAAGTTTGATTATAATTCCCAAATAGTGCTATGAAAAGCACGTTTTAATGTATTACATAACTGCACAGTATACCTGATTGAATCAGATATGCCTGATTATTTTAAGTTTTCGCTGGAAAAGAAGATGACGCCATGATTTGATTCGATACGATTGGATAGTGCTTCAATTATGTACTTTATTATCTGAAGAACATGAGTTGATGATAAAGCCCTGCGTGTATGAATCAAAGTGGCTACTTCAGTTCCCTCTTGAGTAAAACGAATGAGCAAATGTGCTTTTCATATTAACGAAAAGATTTCTGTTCTTAATACTGTTTTTGATTTATATGAAGCCTAGTGCAGACCAAACTCCTTCATATACCGTTGATACTCGGGTGGAAATGTATGTGTATATAAATTCAAGAATGACAGAATAAATGAAGGTGTGAAATCACTGAAACCATCTTTAGGAAAAATAACTGTGCCTGTTGATGAAAACTACAAACTTGCAACACCTGTATGAAGTTCTAGAATACAAGTTTTATATGAACAAAGGTCGATAAAATTTTGATTTTCTTCCTAAAAAGTTACTTTTGTTCATTATTTGAGTAATGATCAGCTGTTTATGGAAATTAATTGGCAAATTTCGGTTGTACATCTTCCCAAGGAGTTGTCCTCGTAGGTCATCGTCCATCCTGTGCTTTCTTGGAAGGTGGACAGGTCTCTGGGAGGCATCTCCTTTATATCGGCAGGTGTAGGCCAAAACTCACTGAACACACACTCTCTTTGGAAACCTTGAGGTGCCTCACGGCGGCCTCCGTGGAAGGTGCAGCGACATTACTGTCGATGCACGGCTTCTTCAACCTTCTTGGGGTTCCCTCCGTGGAGGTGCACAAGTGAGGGCTCTTTCCTGCAGGGACAACCGATTCCTTGCCTTCATTCAAGGCAGAACTCTTGGCGCCCGCCGCAGAAAGTGCCCTTGCTGTTAGAGGTGGAGTGGGGGAGGAGAAGGGTGCACTTGTAGTCGCAAATGCGCTTACGCTTTGGCCTTTGTTTTACATCACGAGGCGATCCGCTATGTCCAGCCCCATTCTGAGCGGTAGATCAGGGTGGACATTTCTTTTCATCCCCAGCAACCGCCTTAGATTGAGGCGAGCACTTCTGTCCAGCCTCAGGATTGGTTTCTGTTTTTGTGTTTGTTTCATTCATGTGTGTTCCCACGAGTAGCAAGGGAAGAGTTGGTCACCTCTGGCAGAGCTCCGCATTACCAGAGGTAGGCTGATTATAATAAGGTTTCGTCCAGTTCCCCAAGGCAATCGTTCGTAACCCCACATCACCCTGCGAGCATTCATCTGTCAGCACGATTCCTTACACCTTAGATTGGGTAGGCTGCTCCACGGTGACATGTTTCGTAAAGGCTTTTGAGGAATTTTAGTATCCCTCACCCTACTCATTTCTGCCATCAACCAGGAGTCCGACGATCCCGTTGGTAAGGCCGCATTGACTTACCGGACAGGGTCCCCAGTTCCCTGGCCGTTCCTCTATCCACCACCTGGGGACGCGCCCAATAGGTAGCCCAACCTATGGGTGTATTGTGACATGATTATGAATATGTCAAATTCGAAGCAAATTCAAGAATTATTGAAACAGCTGATTTTGTGTTTGTAAAAGGAACTTAAGTCCAATAAATATGAGTTCAATGTTCCAAATATAATAATTCATAAATGCTTTCAATTATTTTGTTTCGTATGATTTTCAGTGGTTTGATTATAGATTGACTTGCTATACCCCAAACAGAAATAAGATAGTGTAAATGTGAATAAATGAGACTGATATATATTTTTTTTAAATTTTACATGTATAAAGGTTTAGTCTTGTAAAAAAATCCAATAAGGGAAGATATTTTTTCCATTTTTTTTATTCCATGATGATTCCTCATTCAGTTATATATTGTTTCAGTTCATTCAATTGAATTATGATCCAACATAATCGAATTATTCAAAGTATCAATGAGTCTCAGATAAATATTCATGTATGGAAATTTATTGAAATTGAGCCTCAATTTATATTCATCAATTCAAATGAGAATTCCATCCAAATCCTCATAAAATCTTTTATTTGTTCGTTACTCTCTGAGAAATATATGGTAATAGTAATATCAGCAAATAATTTGCTTATACCATTCATTTCAAATCGGCAAAAGAATTTATATAAGTAAGAAAAAAATCAGGACCGAGGATTTATCCTTGGAGTACACCACAAGCTTCATTATGGAGAAAGTGATGTCTTTAATCTTTAATCTAGTTCGTATAGTTGCAACAATTTCAAAGTGGAAAGTGAGGTGTATATTAGCTGAAATTTTTTGTAGCAGTGTTAACCAGGTTTCAAATTTGAAGGTTTTTATTTTTCAGTGTAATGAGTCAAATCAGCAGACCAATGTCCAAAACCGAAAGCCATGTTTCGATACCACTATCAAGGAGAGGTCCACCTTCAGTTTTACGAACAGATTACCTCAGCCAAGACGAAGAACCTGAAACTACGTTCATGTATCCTCATTTGCAGGTATTCATTCAATATATACAAAGCGACAAGAGAAAATGATAGAAAAAAAAATAATAGCGGAAAAAGTCATTTCTGAAATGAAATTTCAGTAAAATTAATTTGGAGCAATAACAAAAAAAGATATTTTTTTGATATTTTGGATATAAGAGTATAAAAATGATGAAAATTCGAAACAATACCTATTGGTTATATGATCTTGAAGTCTCAATATAATAATCAGTTTTCACTGCAATTATTGAACATTCAGATGGATCCAGATAGCAAAAACAAAGTATTCGTATTCCAAAACAGAGAAAACGCTATTTTGACCCGCTCAGCTCTCATCAGTGAGGCTGAAGTGAACCACAAATGCATTACTGTACTCAATTGTCTTCCGGAGGGCAAAACTGAATAAGTAAAATTGATGACGTTTTATCTTTCGTAGACACCAATCCACGAATTCCCCTTTAACAAAAAATTATTTCAGCGATGCATGCGTGGTTCAGCCTAGCATCACTGATGAGAGCTTGGAGGGTCGAAAGAGCGTTATCTGGCTCGGGATCACCAATTCTCTATCTTTGGGTTCTGGTTTTATCTCGACGCATTGCAAAGGAAGCTGAAGTTGAAGATTGAGAATAAATCTCGTTCAGCGGTCGATGTTGCAGCTCAGCTTTGCTGCAGATCGTCTTAGAAGGCCTCGTTTAAATCTGAAATTCGTGGTTTGAGTCCTCTGACGGTTCCACAGATGATGTCATCACAATTACCTACTCACTAACTAACTGTTCTACTTTTTCTAAAAGTATCCTTGGAATGTTACAGCGTTAAATCATTCGATTTTTTAAAAAATTTCACCTCACCAAAATGACAAAATAACTTAATGACTTCAATCACTCTATTGCCAAGGACTTGAACGAAAAATATAAAAGAAGCCGGTGACCTCTTAGACCAACGGTCAGCAACAGGTGGTCTTCGGACCGCCAAATATTGTAATGTGTTTCACAAGAGTTACAAGAAAATGGAATATCAATTCCATATCTGGCCGATCTTAGGAACGAATTTGTCACAAGATTCCAAAACTTTGCAGAAATAGACAAGCTATCCTATAAGAATACTCGATATATTCGTTGGTCTGATAAATAATTCATTTAGAGAAGGAATCTTTCCAGTTTTTTTTGAAGAAGTCGATTGTGTTAGCACTGCCAAAGGAAGAAGTCATCAATGGTCCATCAAATCTTCGTCCAATTTCTCTAATCTCTGCAACGGGTAAATTGATAAAAAAATTATTTGAAACAAGACTCCTTTGCTTTCTGAATGAAAACAAAATAATAAGTGACTGCCAGTTTGGTTTCCAAAAGTAAAACAACATTTCCGATGCCATACTTTCATTTCTTTACAATGTCTATTCCAACATAAATAACAAAGAAACAGTGGCTGCGGTCTTCTGTGATATAGCGGAAGCATTTGTTTTCGTGAATCATAAAATTCTTTTACGGAAACCCAGTAGATACGGTATAACTGGAATAAATCTTAAGTGGTTTGAGTCATACTTAACAGATCGCATCCAAATACTCCCATACTTAAATGAAGGTAAAAATTACTCGCGGCGTCCCACAAGATTTGGTACTGGGCCCACTTTCATTCTAAATTTACATTAATGATATATAATCTATTAACATCCAAGGAAAATTTACTTTATTTGCTGATGATACCTCAATTTTATGGCATGCTCCTAGCAACCATACGCTGTATGAAGTTGAAACAAGAAACAAAGATACCCTTAGCGCCAAAAAATTCAATCACACATATTATACAAAATCGCCACAACATAATGGACTTACACTATAATGCGGTTTATCATTTCCTTTTTAAATCCCATCTCCGTAATGGTATTTGCTTTTGGGGTGTGTGTTCTAACACATGCCTGCTATCATTATTACAAGAATCCTTATGCATGGCAAAGCCGAGCCTAGGGATTCTTGTCGGCCTCTTTTTGCCTCCAACAGAATCCTAACTGTGGTCTCCTTACTTAGATATGAGACAATCTGCCTTCTCTTTCAAAATAGTAACTCGTTCTACAACTTAGACGAGCCAATGTATCAAACCAGGCAAATATTCAGCTTCAAATTAACGCTGCCTTCTTCGACCGTAGTTAAAGATTCCATTATTTACAACGGTCTCAAAATGTGCAATCACCTTCCTTAAGCTATAAGAACCATAAATGACCTTAGCGCTCTTGAGAAAGACTTGCTTTCTGTGAGACCTTATTATAACTTAGCAGAATTTTACGATGATAATTTAATTGAGTATGACTAACTGTAAGTTCTACGGTATTTTATTGATTTGATTCAATTTAGTTTGAATTAATTCATTTGATTTTTTTAATCTCATATCCTGAACGTTTATATTAGGTTATTGTTATTTACATGTCTTCTTTAAGTTCATGTTATCACTTACTTAGTGATTTTACTTCAGAGATTTGATTTATATGTTATTTATATTTCGCACATAGCTTTGTCAATAGGAATTCATTCTTCAGACAATAAAGTATATTTTGAATTGAATTGAACTGGTTGTCTACATAACATGCTTTCATTCCCAGGTGTGTGGTGTTGGAATTTTCCCTAAATCTTTCAACTGCTGCCTCCAGTCCAATCAGCATCTCCTACTCAATGAGGTGTCGTTCGAAATACGAGGTGGTGAAGTCATGGCACTGATGGCAACTTCTGAAGAGGAAGGTACAGCTCTACTGGATATTGTGGCAGGTCTAAGAGCACCAGTGCTAGGAAGCGTTCTTTTGAATGGACAGAACGTCCGGCCGCATTCTTTGAAGTCCAGAGTAGCATATGTGCAAAGTGATTCTCATTTATGTAAAGACATGACAGTTGTACAGACTTTGAGGTTTCACTACGATCTCAAGAAACCCACCGAAAAATTAGGATATTTGAAAATCGACGCCATGGACAGGGTAAGGATAGCATTGGGTGGATTGCAATCAACTTCAGAAGCAGATGCATGAACTTGAGTTCTCAAAACTTTCAAAAATACATATTACTGGAGATTTTTCCCAACAACAAACCGTTATTTCAACACCTCGGCACGTGTTTCGATCACCAAGTGATCATCTTCAAGAGGAAGGTCAAACAGTTTGATCTTCTGATGATCTTGAAGATGATCACTTGGTGATCGGAACACGTGTCGAGGTGTTGAAATAACGGTTTAATGTTGGGAAAAAACTTCAGTAATATTCATTACTACACCAAAGGACCCAAACAGTGCATCACAAGTTTCAAAAATACAAACGAATAGTTTTTTGAAAGGCCTTAGAAGTTACTACTCCATACGTCGTCTCATAAAACTAGTTTTTCTGACATTCGAGCTCATCTATTCAGGACAAACCTCTACTGAAGATGTATATATAACCTATTATTACATACGTGAAAACGAATCATTCTTCTCTGATATTCATATCGTTAACAAAATGAATACTGTATTCTCTATTACCATTTTAGTAGAAGAATTATTTGATTCAGACAATACCACAGTTAACATATAGTGATCATTCAATGGAATATTGAAGAGAGGGGATCATGCTTATGTTTTGCCTTGCCTTCTAACGGGGGGATGGAGGTACCCCAGCTGAATGAGGTATTGCTCGTAGAGGTAAAAGAAAATGAACCCTTGTTATCAGGTGTGTGAATCTGTGCTTCAAGGATGTATGATTGAGATTCACTGATTAAACATACGAAATATCGGGCGCCCTTCAGTCGAAGGAAGCGTTGTCAATTCGAACTTTTTTTGTAATGAACCTTTTTTCCCCAGCTACTCATGGTGCATACTATGGACCATGAAGAAATCAAACACCCAAACCTGAATGTACATAGAAAGTGGTCATCGACTAAAAACCCCAACATTTCTCTTTTTTGAGAACGATCAAGAAAAAGAGCGTATCAGTTCTCCGGCTTTTGGGCTGCGTTTACAGAAGGGATGCGTGTTGATCAAGCAACCCTCAAATATCCTTTCTGTGATATGAAATCGAGAGCAGGAGCTCCCCAGTTCACCAACTCCTAAAGTAAACCCAGGCGACTAGGTGTTGCAGCCTGAAAACAACCTACGATCTATTTAAGAGCAAAATATTTAATGAAGCTGCCATGAATCAAATTTTTGAGCAGCAGGAGCAAAATCCGCATCAGGAGAAAAAACATTCTTTCCTTGAGTAGGTCCTATAAATAACTTTAATCAACATCGATTCAACGACGAATCAAGAGAAACAGCTAACTAGTTCTCCAGCTTTTGGGCTAAGCTCATAAAGGAGATGAAGTTCAATCGATCGGCTTCAACTATGGAACCTGTAACATCGGAACAAATCAGGAGTTTCTTAGTTCTGCTGAACCAAACCAGGAGGCAAGGTGCACTGAAGACTCACCCATCAAATGAAGTGATCGGCATCGAATAGAAACCTGATTCATTTGGTCGAGTTAAAATTGGTATGAGACACAATGAAAACTTGTGGGTTGCAGCTAGAGGTCGAATAGAAGTACTCAATTCAGATCTATCCTACCTATCCCTCGAGTTTCTTCACTATCAGTACAGATAGTGACTGAGTCATTACCAGAAGACAATAACGGATACTAACAATATCGTTGGGATGTTATTCAGTTAGGAAATAACAGAACCACAAGTGATTCTGTCATTTCCATATACAGCGGGGCTACGTGGAAGCAGGCATCCGATGGCCGGTTTGCTCAACCTCTTTCCTTCACTATTAGTACAGATAGTGACTTAGTCATTACCAGAAGACAATAATGGATACTAACAATATGAACGTCATGAAAAATATCTAGCATCCAACAAAAAATATTTTCAACAACTTCCAGATGAGATTTAAATCTATCCGAAGACCTCATCAGGTATTTTCAATGATTCTTCTGAGATCTGGAAAAGCAAGCGATCTTCTAGACTTAGGTTAGGTCCAAAGTGAGTGGGTCTATTGGACCCTCCACCGCAACACGCAAGGTTTTATTGTGGCTCACTCCTATTCACGCTCGGCCAAATGAATCCAGCTTCTTAACGCAGCCGATTAGTTTGTATGGTGAGTGGTCTTTAAGGTTGAATAGTGAGAGTATGGCTCTGTCGAACCCTATAGATCTGATTCGGTCCCCAGCAGGGCAGACACGAAGTATATGCTCTGTTAATGAGGTAATAGGATAGTCAAGTTGCAAGAATCCCACCTTGATACACACGACAACCTTTCCATATGAGGGTTTTTGCACGTCAGCTACACCTGACGATGGCTTAGATTCAATTGTGCAGGGCTTTTTCGCCTTTGGTTTTGGTGAATCATCACTTGAGCGCAAATGTTGGCTAACCTGCGCATGGGGAGGTTTGTTTCCTCACCTGAGACAGATTCTGCGTACGCCGCTCAAGAGTTTGGTGCAAGTCGTCTCCCCGCCTTCGGGGAGACGACTCAGTCTTTTCCTGGCTGCACCACCAAACCTTTTTTCAAGGTTCAGTTGTTGGATCAGAAGTTGGGGTGTTGAGAAGCTCTTGCTCCTCAACTGAATTTACAGGGAGGTCAGTTGGAGTCATAAACCCGACATCCATCTCCTCTGTAGACCCGCTCCTGGATTATATTCACAGGGAGATCAGTTGGAGTCGTAAATTCGACATCCATCTCCTCTGTAGGCTCGCTCCTGAATTAAATCTACAGTTAGGTCAGTTGGAGTCGTAAACTCTACATCCATCTTCTCTGTATACTCGCTCCTGAATTAAATTCACAGGGAGGAAAGTTGGAGTCGTAAACTCGACATCCATCTTCTCTGTAGACTCATTCCTGAATTAAATTTACAGGGAGGTCAGTTGGAGTCGTGAACTCGACATCCATCTCCTCTGTAGACTCGCTACTGATCTAAGTTTACAGGGAGGTCAATTGGAGTCGTAAGCTTGACATCCATCTCCTCTATAGACTCAGCGTCAGAAAGAATTTTCAACAAAAGTCCCACGAGTAGCTAGAGAAAGGAGGTTTATCACGGCAGAGCTCCGCATTACCGTGATAAGGCGATGCTACGACGAGAGGGCGCCCGGTATCTCGAAGGATCTGTAGAGACAGCTGATAGGCTCAGTGTCATTCATTCTCTCGGCACGGATACACACACTTTAGGATTAAGCCATCGTTGGGATGTCATTCAGTTAGGAAATAACAGAACCACAAGTGATTCTGTCATTTCCATATACAGCGGGGCTACGTGGAAGCAGGCATCCGATGGCCGGTTTGATCAACCTCTTTCCTTCACTATTAGTACAGATAGTGACTTAGTTATTACCAGAAGACAATAACGGATACTAACAATATGAACGTGATGAAAAATATCTAGTATTCAACAAAAAATATCTTCAATAACTTCCAGATGAGATTCAAATCTATCCGAAGACCTCATCAGGTATTTTCAATGTATTTTCTGAGATCTAGAACAACTCAGTGAGGGGTTCTCTATAGATTATGTGATGCCTATGAGGAAGTTTGGAGATTCTGTCATGATCATACAAAAACCCTGGATCTGCAGGAGGAAATTGTATAGCAAAATCTCAGGAAGATCAGAAAAATGTATAGAAATATCCGAAAATAATGGAGTATACGGTCTTCAAGTAAATTTTGTATGAAAAAATTTACGTGAATTATATTCAAGATGACAGGCGAGGCATGCATACCTCTCTCAAGATAGTCCAAGACAACCATTAACCAGGGAGGTAAAATAGCTAGTGAGGATCAGCCAAGCAGTCACATCACTGCTCATAATGAGCTGTGACGTGAATGAACACTCCTGACTTTGGTGGGGGTACTGACTCTAATGAAATAGGCAAATGATCAAGATACAGAAATATTAGACGTATTACTAGTAACTATAGTATGTGTGATTGATGACTTGTTTATGTTGTTGTGATTCATGATCACTTCAATGAAATGCTTTTGTATTCATTTCATTATAGTAACTATAGCATAAACTTTGGAATTGGATAGTCCCTTACCTCGATTATAAACTTCGGAAAAGCAAACTGAGAAACCTCTAAGGCACACCAGGAAACTTGCTCAGCTGGGTGAAATGGGTATTGATATAGGGGATTCATAGTCAGTAGTAAGGCAACTACAGCTAGCGAATCTCTACAAATCACTTTGAGTATTGGTCCAATATTAGGTACACCTCAAACTGATCCAGAAACATTCAGTGAGAAAGAGTGAAGTTGGTGGTTTCACTGATGTTAACATATGTATCCCCTTTTCCTTTCAGTAGTTGAAGATTACTCGTGAACAAGCAAGCCTGTTATACAACTCTTTGGGAATTGTTTCTGTATAATAGTTTGTTTTCAAAAATAAACTTCTGATTTTGGGATTGAGTGGAGGAACATTTCAGTAGAGGTCTTGTTTTTGAATTGAATGAACTTCTCCCTGTTGATTAGGTAATGGTCACTAATATAAAGTAAACTATTTGTGAGGAATAAAGGCGATTATCATTTTTAAATGCTGCTCAACAACAGGAATTTCCTGTAATTGATCAAGCTATCACTTCCAGCAAAAGCTGTTGTGAATTCATTTCCGTTTAGATATACATATAATATCAAAATATATTTTCAGATAAACGTTTTAATCGAAGATCTTGGCTTGGAACTGGTGAGACACACCAAAGTTTCATCAATGACCATTTCAGAGAGAAGAAGACTGAACGTAGCATGCCATCTCATATTAGATACAGATATAGTGATTTTAGATCAACCAACTAGAGGAATGGACATTTTCGACACTTTTTTTCTAGTTGAATACTTGAAACAATGGGCAAATGGAGGGGCGGGAAATGCTCTCGGAAGAATAGTTATATTCACCATGCACCCACCCACATACGAAATTTTTACCATGCTTTCCAGAATTCTCCTAATATCAGCTGGAAGGACAATGTACAGCGGCAAGCGAAGGGATATGCTGCCATATTTCGCATTAGTTGAATATCCCTGCCCATCGTATAAAAACCCATCAGATTACTATCGTGAGTGTTTCTATTATGAATAATGTATATGTCACCATAATAATACTAATAATAATCTCTATTTTCCTTTTTGACATGATTGAACACGTATAAAAATCGTCAGGTACATAGAGAATAGCATACTCAATAATAGTAATAGTAATAGTAAAAGTAAGAGTATTACATGTTATCAAAATGAGACAGTAATTAGTCACGTTTAGAAATCGTCAGGTACATAGAGAATAGCTTACTCAATAATAGTAATAGTAATAGTAAAAGTAAGAGTATTACATGTTATCAAAATGAGACAGTAATTAGTCACGTTTGTCATAAAATAGAAATATAAATATACATATATAACTTTTATTTATGTATACACGTATACACACACATATACATATACATAATCTACATATACATTAGAATGTTTGCAGCGCTACTTCAAAAGGAACTTTTGTATCGTATAGGGATTTTTGTTGATTGAAAATCTTTTTGGTAGAAATTTTAACTTTCTCAGGAACCCTGTTTCCCTAATCTCTTGTGGAAGATTATTGAAAAGTTTTGGTCCCAGGTAACAAGCAGAGTTTTCTGTCACCCTGTACTTATAAAATGGAATATAATATTTGTCTTCATTTTGTCTGGTATTAATGCTGTGAATATTCACATTCAAAGTAAAGTCTTTTCTATTATTAAATACATAAATGCATAGCTCTAAGATAATTTTCAAAAAAAAGAAGAAAGCAATCATTTGAAAAAAATTCTCTACAAACATGTGTAGATCATGCAAATAAGTAACTTTTAGACACAAATTGGAGAAAAAAACCTGTCGAAACAAATTCTATCAATTATTTTCGAAACATTGAGAATCAATTGGAGTCAACATAGATTGACATTGAAGAGGAAGATCATTTGATTGCAGAAATTTTACAGAATATAACCCTCATTGGAATGTTGATGGTGTGAATGTTAGCTTTACCCATCTCAGCTTTCCTTTTTACTGGTTTGCATTTTTTTCTGACCCAATTCAAGTTGTTCAATTCCTTTCAGCCATATCCTCACACAAGCAACTTTCTACTCTCAGAATTATTGTGCACATCAAAGGAAAATATGAACGTTTTCTTTCAACGTTCGATCACCTGCTGCATTTTATATTCATAATTCGGCCACCCTCCACAGACGTTGAACCTTTCATAAAAAATCTTCATGAATATTTACAAGAATGTGAAAATTCTGCAGATGTGCATGTTTTACTAGGGGACATGAACATAAATATCTTAGATTCATCCGAGAACTCAAAAAATTATTTAAATGTACTAGCCGGATCGAACTTCCAATCGACCATAAACATACCTACGAGAGAAGAAACGTGTTTGAATTATATCTTCGTGAAAAACAAATTATCAGTTTATCATTATTTGCCAATAGTCTTAGCAACGAAAGTTACTGACAATACTTCAAATTGCCCATTCGGAGAAACACACAAACTTTAATAATCAGCATCGTTACAAAAATTATATAGATTATAATGCACACTAATACGCAAATTACGAAAAGAGTCATCGTACGATATCTACCAATGCGAAGATGTAAATATAGCTGCAACTTCATTTGTTAACAAACTCACATACTACATATGTCAAAGCTCAAAGAAAATCATTCAAAAAAGAAAAATGCAGAAAAAAAAGAATGAATTACCGATGGACTGATGAAATTAATAATCACAAAAGAAAGATTATTTAGAACAAAGAAAAATAGTCCAACAGTAGAAAACACAACAATATATAAAAAATATCGAAATAAGTTAACTGAAATTATAAAAGTAACGAGAAAGAAACATTACATAGAGAAATTAGAAGAGAATGAAAAATCTCCAGAAAAACTGTGGGCTTGTGTCAATGAAATATACGGAAAAAATTGTAAAAGTGAAGAAATAAGTCAAATAAGATCAAAATACGGAAACTTGATCCATAGTGATATCAATATATCAAACTCATTTGTTGATTATTTTTCGAACATGGAAAAACCATTCAAAGAAATTCAAAGAAACAGCAGCATGAATTCATTCTTCCTCAGTGAAACGACAGAGACCTGAAACCGAAGAAAGCTCCCGGTATCGATAACATTCAATCAATTGCTAACGAAATATCTTGCCCACTGAACAATATAATGAATTGGTCATTTGCAGTACGAAGTTTCCCGGAAAAATTCAAAATAGCGGTTATCAAACACCTATACAAAAAGGGTGATGAATTGAACATGGAAAAATATCGTCCCATATCTTTATTAACGAATTTATCAAAAATCATGGAGAAAATTCTGAAGAAAAGACTAGTCAACTACCTCANTTTGAATGAATCAAATACTCAAGCTCAAGGCCTCGTGTGGTTTTCAATTTGTTCACTATCTTCTGTCAATGGGTGGATGCATGTATATGTGTATGCAAATATATATGTATGTATATGTGTATATATGTAAATCTAATAAATGTCACGCACAAGCTCTGTGAGCTTCAGTGATTTGTTATGTTTATTTCTTTACTTGTTAGATGTTTGTCTTTTATCTTTTTGTACATTTTGAAATAAAAATTATTATTATTATAATTCATTATTACTTTTCATCCAATTCGGGTTGAAAATTTGGGAATAAGTCTCACTGTGGAAGATGAGCGCGTTCAATTCTACAGTGATTTATTTTTCAGTTGATTTAGTAACTCTGGACGACCTCTCTGCCGAAGCCATGCTGGAATCTTCCCAACGAATAGAACAATTAGCAGAGATTTTTAGGCAGAAACAGGAACCCATGAGCGACCCGGGGCGCCCTGCAACCTTACCCATGACTGTGAGGAACCCCAACTGCATAGTTCAAGGATTTGTGCTATTCACGTAAGAATTCTTTTAAGGAATTTGAATATTTTGCATTGTTGGAAACAATCTGGTTGAGTGGGGGTGGAATACTCAAACAATTTGGTCATTCAATTTATGTTCTCACTTACTGAACTATCAGAAAATGAAATATCGAAACAAAAATATTCTGTCGCAAACAAAATCATAGTTTTGATATATTTTGATACATTACAAATACAGAAACTTCCATCTTCATTTTCCTGAGCAAAATTCACCATTTTGATTCTTACTGTATCAATTATATATTCTGGTCACCCAAATCTGTTTTCCAAAGTAGAAATGACATTGTCCACGTTTTCAGTCGTTGAACACATTCCAGCAACTGCGGGTTCAGCCTCTCCTTTGAAATATCTTCACAATTTCAACATAATTTCTTCATTGCTGTAATCACAGAGTTTGCGAAGATTCTTGAACGATTTATTAAACAAGAACCAATCTTGAGGAAATCTTTCTCCAGTGTCTTCCGAATTTGGAATTTATCGAGTTCTCTGGCATTCGAGAATTGATTCGAAACAACTGGCGCTGGTATCAGAACTGATTTGAGAACATTTATAATTGTTTCACAAAGTATTTTAATGTCACTGCTACATGTATTTTTCTCGTCACTTTTTCCTACTTTTTCTATCATTTCAGGTGTTTGCTGTCGGTTGGTAGATATATTTTCAATCCTTTGGGCTACAGTACCTCTGTGTTTTTGGTCATTAACTGACTCTTCTCTCGGAGCCAAACTAACTATTTCATACTGAAGACGAACGCTATCACGAGTACTGCCCTTTTCTTTTCTTAGAGCTTAGCTTTGTGTAAGTCTTCTTCCATCTGAAGCAAACGAAAACTATTTTTTATCTCTTCCTGTTTCAATTCCAGATTTCTTCGTTATTTTTCTATTTCTATAGCTCTTCTCCTCATTTCCAAATCTATATAACTTCTACGGGAACATTCAGTCTTTCTAGAAATTTTTGAGCATACTTACGATTTTTGGCCATGTCTCAAGGAAGTTGGCTCTTTCACGACTATTTTCTCTTACTGGTCATTTGAAGTTTCTGGAATTTGGGATCGATTTGCCTTGTCACATTGGTCGGGCCGAACATAATCCATCGATAGGCTTCGATTGAAACCGGCACCAAGTCTGCTCGCTATCCATATCGTGATCGTGCTCCATATCGTGATCACGTCGGGGTCACCAATATAATAATGATAATAATAATAATAATATTTATTCACACACAAGGATAATAGTACAAGGATAATAGTACAAAATTGTAATTTGAAAACCCCCAACCAATGATTCCATAATTCAAATGAGATTCTACTAAACTCTTATATATCATTATTTTCTGCTTGATATTGAGATATTGCGTCAGTTGTTTGAATTTGTACAGGATACAGCGTAACTTTTGAGTCAGAAATCTCACATGTTGGTCCCATTTAAATTGACAATCTAATACAATACCAAGGTATTTGATATTTTTGACTTGATTTATTTTATATTTCTTTTAAATGTAGAACTCAAATTCGAAAATGAACACCTCGTACCCATAAACGAAAGCACACGACTGAACTTCCAGTAATAATTTGGGGTGATTCATCTTCCAGACCCCATCATGGAGCCACGTCAAACACTTGACGACTTTTCATCGAGTATCGTACGAAAATCCGGCTGAAATGAAATGTAACTTTTCGTGGGCTCGTTCATGAAGTTGATTTTGTGGCTTCGATAAAGAATCGTAATTTCCTGTTGTCAAAATAATGGATGCTGTTATTAAGTTGAACCGATACAACGATTACTACCCGAACTTGATGGCTCCAGTATCATTCCTCTGAAGAAGGGGTAGATGAAAACAGTCTGTGTTTTTTTCCAATCGATGATTAATGAATATGCTGTATTTCATCAGATTAACCGAAAATAACAATTTCATCAAACAAAAAACTGACATTACAAGAAAATTACATTCAAGCAACAACCAAAAAATGAACAATTGAAATAGTAATAAAAGCTGAAACTAAAAAAAAAAATAAATATTGTTAACAAAAAATGAAGAATGAAAATTAAAATATTCCAAACCAAGTTATGTCACGACGTTTCGATCGCTAGTATCCACAATCGTCTTCCGGTGATAACTGGACTCATTTCTCCAAGATCTGACTATTTATAGGTCATTCGAGTGCTTTCACCTATCCCCTCTTTCCTCTCTCCGCTTCAATGGTTTTAGCGGGAGATGACCGTTTGGCGGGAGTTGGTCGTTTTTCGCTTGATAAGAGGTTTCCATATGTTACGTATCTATACACTAGCTTGACTAAATGCGTTGTTGGACAACATATATGCGGCTTCTTTGAATTTTCTCCTAAACCAGTGTTCCTCTTTGTGGATGATTTCAGCTTGAGCCCACTTGATGTTATGTTGATGATTCCAAACATGCTCTGCCATTCCGAATTTGCTGGTTTCTCTTCGCTGTGTGTGTTTTATGTGCTCAGCAATACGAACTTTTAATGGCCTCTTAGTTTCACCTATGTATGATTCTCCGTACTCGCAGGGTATACGGTAAATGCAATTCTTGGAATCGCAGTCCGCGTTTGGTGGCCTGATTTTCATGAGGCGGCTACGGATAGTGTTTCCAGATCTGGAGCAGGTCCTGATGTTATATTTGGACCCAATCCTTCTTATCCTTTCCGATAATCCTCTGATGTAGGGAAGTACAAGTACTGGTTGTGGTGGCTACTCTTCCTTGTGGAGTTCTCACTGTATTCTAGCTAAGGCCTATTCTACCATCACACTGGAGTAACCATTCCGTTGAAGATCATTTTTGATGATGCCTAGTCCTTGTTCGAGACTTTCCTTTGTATTACAGAGCCCGAAGGCACGGTCCAATGGAGTCTTGATGATTCCTCTCTTAGTCGATTGATGGTGGTTGGATTTCTGGTTCAGATACTGTCCTGTGTGAGTGGATTTTCGATATACAGATGTTTTCCATTTAATGACGATCCTCTTCACCGACTAAGAAAGGCAATTCGTTGTGGACTTCCTTCTCCATTGTGAAAGTGATTATCGGAAAGGATAAGAAGGATTGGGTTCAAGTATAACATCAGGACCTGCTTCAGATCTGAGAACACTATCCGTAGCAGCCTCACGAAAACCAGGCCATCAAACGCGGACTGCGATTCCAATAATTGCATTTACCGGATATCCTGCGAGTGCGGATAATCATACATCGGTGAAACTGAGAGATCTTCGAAAGTTCATATTGCTGAGCACAAGAAACACACACAGCGAGGAGTGGGCTCAAGCTGAAATCATCCACAAAGAGGAACACTGCTTCAGGAGAAAATTCAAAGAAACCGCGTATATGTTGTCCAACAACGCATTCAGTCAAGCTAGCGTAGAGATACGTAACATATGGAAACCTCCAATCAAGCGAAAAATGACCAACTCTTCAAACGGTCATCTCCCGCTAAAACCGTTGAAGCGGTGAAAGGGGGGAGGGGATAGGTGAAAGCACTCGAATGACCTATAAATAGTCAGATCTAGGAGGAATAAGTCCAGTTATCACCGAAACACAATTGTGGATACTAACAATCGAAACGTCGTGACACAACTTGTCTTGGAATNTTTTTAATGTTCATCTCTTGTTGATAATTTTTTTAATTTTCATCTTGTGTTGATAGTTAATTTTTTTTTTAATTTTTGGTTGTTGCTTGTATGTTATTTCTTTGTAATTTCAGTTTTTTGTTCAATAAAATTGTTATTTTCGGTTAATCATTTTAATTTTTTTCAGGGATTTCAAATCAATTCATATTATATTAGACAATGGAAGTCCGAACTGATGAAATACACCACGGAACATTGTCAATCACCTCCAAACAAACAATAAATATGCTGATGTGATCTTATTTTCAAGTTCAAGAAACGCACCCAATGAAATAGTGATAATTTGATAATTATATTCATATCATTTGCAGCTCCATGAACAAATGCATTAATAATCGAATTGAATAGAACTGGCCGATACTTAATGAAAATCCATATTGAAAAAACTAATTCAAGCATAACTCACAGTTATGCTTGAAGAAGCTATTGTATAGCGAAACACGTGTTGCGGTTTTTGTCAAACCCTTATAGTGAAAATCATTCAATAAAATGTATTGATTAGTTTTTTTAATAATAGAGTTATTGTATCCCACTCGGATTTTACGAAACATCCGAAGAATCCTCCAACAAGCGAAATGATACCTTTCATATTGGACCATCAATTTTCATATTGGACCATCAATTTTCATATTTTATATAGGAGAGGCTGCCAATGTACCCCACGAATCAATCCTCGAACCTGTTGTTTGTAGTTCACATATCTCAGATTCATAAGTAGCTACTACATTCATAGATACCTAAATTTATAATTATCACATAATATTACAATTGAACAAAGCTTTTACGGTCGGTTTTCGAGATGGTTTTCAGTCTTCATCAATTTTTTAAATAGATGTATTTCTAATTCTGCAAATTCTCAAATACATATCTTTTATTGTAGAAATTTCTACAACGAAATACCCACATATCCGAATAATGATATTTCAGAACCGATATTCATAATTAAACTCTCACAGAAACTTTCCAAGAGGCGGTGATATTTTCATTCACAAAGACGCCATCCAAAGGATTTTCCTGAAGGAAGACTTCATCATATTTTCTTAGACTTATCGAAGAAAAAAATGAATTTTTGTTGAACTGTTTCTCATATTCAAATTTTCATTCACACATGCATATATTTTCAAGTTGGATTGAAGACACTTGATCGGAGAACTGTGTCCAGGGAGTTAACATTTTCAATGTTACTATTAGGTCGTTTCAAAAGATTTGTCCATTTTAATGTCATATGTCTTTCAATAAATTGATGGACGTAGCGGTTACTATGTGTGTGAGAAATTAAACGTTTTATGTATTTTCACCACCTTTATTTGCAACTAACTTTATTGCAGTTACATCC